ATATTCCACACATGTTAAAGCTGCTTGGCTTTTAAAGGGCTGGATACATTATAGAAATTAATTTGATGATTTTTATTTGTGTGTGTGTGTGTGTGTGTGTAAAGAATAGTAATGTCATTTTTTTTATTTTTTTTATTTATTTATTCTGTTTTTGTCATTTTGAAAAGTTCCTAAAGTTTTGCTCTTGACCTAACAAAGTTATTTTATGTCCTTTTTGAGCATCTTTTGTTTGATTTAAATTTTTAATTTCCTTTTGTCCTTACTATTTTAGTTTTGACCTTAGCAGTTGTTAATTGTGTTTAACATCTGTGGTGGAACAAAGATAACAATTTTATCACAGTGGATTTTAAAACTGCAATTTTCTTGTAGCCATTCATTTAGGTTAAATAGACTTTGCTTGGTACTTATATACTTTGCTATTTATTAAATGTTTATGTATGTGGATGCTCCATTCAGGACACATTTGTCTTAAAGTGTTATGTCCTTCAGGACCACTTTATGCAGAAAATTAAATCTGCATTATTCATGAAAAAATGCAGCTAAATGAAGCAGCTTTTCATGCTTACAGCAAACTATGCTCTGTGGTGTTGTATTATAGCTTTCTACTGTAGTTACTACCTTCCTGTAGTTAAGGTCTGGGTAGTATTTCTAAAAGTGGAGGTAATATTTCTTTGTTGTTTGTGTCTTTTTATTTTTCTGTAGCAACTGTTTAACTGCCAGGCCCTGAAGAAACTCAGCATGCCCGATAACGACCTGTCCAACCTTCCCACCACCATCGCCAGCCTGGTTAACCTCAAAGAGCTAGACATCAGTAAAAATGGTAAACACTTCTAAGATGCTGTCTAAATTTTAGCAGCAGTGACATTTGTTTGTTCTCACCACATGTCTTTGGACTGACTGTCTCCAACAGGAATTCAGGAGTTTCCAGACAATATAAAATGCTGTAAAGGTCTGTCTGTGGTAGAAGCCAGTGTAAACCCCATCACCAAGTAAGACTCTGACACACATGATCACAGCTAACTAAACCCGGATTGAGATTTCACCTTGTTTTGAATGTGGCAGAACATTTTTCAACAACTGTTTGGACTTGAACTTGCTTCAAGAGCTTAGTGGATTGTTCTAGAGATGTAAACTGAGTTTTCTCTGTTAGAACCCAAAATATCATTATTTGCCTTTTTAAAATCTTTCTGCATTATTTATTTAAATCTATATATATATTTGTGTAAAACAAAAAAAGGAAAAAAAAAACATATATATATATATATATATATATATATATATCTTAGGGCTGGACAATAATTCGATATCGATATATGACACAATATACTTTTATTCAATAAAGGTGATATGAGTTTTAAGCACATTTTCAATATTTCGATATGATTACAGCGTTTCACTGACGCATTTTTTTTTCTGTTTGGGTTGAAGCGGCCGCTTCAGTTTTAGCCCAGGCAGAAAAAGGTATGACACAACTACGTAAGTGCGTGGTGACGTAGATGTTACGCAGAGCTTGAATCCAGAAGGCGTTAGCGGCAGGCTAGGCTTATTTCCAATGTGCGTTAAGATTTTGCTTCAAAATCGATGCCCATGACCATCAGAATGTGACTGAACAAGCTTTCATATGAGAAAAGAAAGCAGATGACATAATTGATAAGAGAGGAAAGACTAATTTGGCGGTGTGGAAGTGGTTCGGCTATCTAAGATCCGATAAACTTCAGGTTTCAGTCAGTGTGCTGCAAAATGTGCCGCAGTCGTTCCATCAACTAGCGGTGGGAACACATGTAATTTGTTTCACCATCTGAAGAGTTTCCACTCTAGAATAAGCGCTGAGAGAAAGAAGATGAAGAACAATAAAAGTTTGAGCCAACGTGTCCCTGAAACAACACCCCCAGCTGTATGAAAAGAGAAACACATGCAGCAAACTGCTTAGGTTATGTTGTTGTTTAAAGTTAAAACTATTATTATTGACAAAAGTTGAGAGTTTTATGTTCATTTAATGGTGATTTCAATTTTTTTTAAAGCTAAATACAAATAAAAGGTGAATTAATTTATTTGTACAGTTTTTCTGAGGCTTTTATATTGTTTATATCGATATCGGAATTATATCGTTATCGACCAAAATTAAGAAATGTATCGTGACATATTGGACATATCTTCCAGCCCTAATATATAATTTTAACTGTTAGCTCCCTGCAAATACAGAAGATGTTGCACACCTAAAGCCAAGAATTGTGCACATAATCCTGTCCCATCAACTCAGTGATGGGCACATTTTTGAAGCCCTGCATATTTATAGCAAGTCCAGTTGTTGCATTTTTAGGCAGCAGGTGTGCATTTGCAATTGCTGTTTTCCTCTTTGTAAGTGTATGGCAGACAAAAATACATCTGGTGCCGGGTTGTTTATATGCAGCAGATGAGTCATCTGCAGGCCAACATCATTCCTGCAGTGGGTTTTATGGGAAATATGTCCATGTTTTATTTCACCAAAGTTGCTAAAAAAAAAAAAAAAATGCTCTATTAGTTTTTTTTTTTCCTTTTTTGTATAATTTCTGTTCCTGAATATCTTTCAGACTCCCAGATGGTTTTACACAACTCCTAAATCTGACCCAGCTCTTCTTAAATGATGCCTTCCTGGAGTATCTGCCTGCTAATTTTGGCAGGTGAAATGATGCATGCGCTTTGTGATGTTACAGTGGTGATGATTAAATATTTAGTTCGAGTTTGGTTAATGGGATCATGAACAGGCCTTTACAGTGTGTGTGTGTCTAAATGTTGTTTTGACAGTGAAAACTTTTTTTTAAATTGTATCATGTCTGTGAGGCTGAAACATTTAATACTCTAGTTTTCAGACTATAAGACGCAATATCAATGAACAGGTCTGTTTTCATACATAAGGTGCACTGGATTATAATGCGAATTAAGCAAAATAAGTTCATTTAGACAGAATTATAAGCACCGTACACCACATAAAATCAGTTCGAGGTTAGTAAGCACAACCAGAATTAACACATAAGGTGCACCGACTTATGCGGTTCACTGTTGATTTTTGAGAAAATTCAAGTATTTTAAGTGCGCCTTATAGTCTGAAAAAGACGGTACATGTTTATTTTTGGAGTAGGGATTAAATAAATTAAATAGCATTGTTCATTTAATTGTTATTTTATCAATACATATGGTACGGGACAGTTATAAAAGCCCAAAGAGACAGAAATCTTCTAAACTAAAGCATCTCCATCTTAGTTTACTTAGATTTGAGATTTTCATTCAAATAAGTTACTATGACAATGATTTGAAAGTTAAACAATATTGTTAAAAACAAAAAGAGCTTTTTTTATTTTATTTTTTTTCCTGCTGATGCCTGTTGCGGCTGACAAAGTACAAATAATAAGGAATTAACTTTAGGCTTATGTACCTTCTGTTTTATCAGACTCTCCAAACTACGAATTCTGGAGCTGAGAGAGAACCACCTGAAAACAATGCCAAAGTAAGGCAACTCACCATATGTGTGTGTGTGTGTGTGTGTGTGGTGTCCAAATTAAACTTGTGTTCATCCAGACAGGTTTTCTTGAAGGTGTACAAGTGCACTATTATAATATTAAGTATATTTCACTGTCTTAAAAAGAAATGCAGCAGATGTTCACTATGACCTCTGGGAAGTTTTACATTTTAAATTTATCCAGCAGTGATCGTTTCTTAAGTTAAAAAGTATTTTATTTATTGTTTTAATGCCTTAAAATGCAATTAGTAAAGATACCAGTACAGTATGCAATGAACATAGTCAGAAAATGGTTTAATTTGGCTTGTTTGGATTTTGTTGTTGTTTTCTTTGGGACTTTGGTGAAGACATCAGTGACAAATTGTTCAACTCTATCAAAGTTGAATTACTCACAGTACGCTCTATAAGGATTGTATTTGGTGTGTAGTTTTGAGCTGCTGCATTAAAAAAGTGTGTTTTTAAGTGTGAAATCTCTCCCCTAGGTCCATCCACAGACTAACACAGCTGGAGAGGTTGGATCTGGGTAGCAATGAATTCTCAGAACTGGTGAGGTTGATACCAATGTGTTTTTCAAGTTGTGTGATTGCTTATTTTAAAAGTATAAGTACCACATGTTCTGCCGTAAACGTCGCTTCGCCCTGTAAGTCGCATAAGTCCAAATATGTCTAATAAAGTTTAAAAATTCCATAAATATGTTGTTTCGCCATATACGTCGCATCTATTATGCATCACTGCTGACACGTGGTGTTTGTTTCGCGTCACAACTGACAACTTGGAAATGTGGGTTGAACTCGGAAATGTGTTGTGCCAAAAATCTATGGGCTGTCAAATAGAGGCCGCGGGAGCGTGCACAGGAGGACTTTAACAAGAATTTAACAAGCTTAACACAAAAACAATTGTTTGTTTGCTTGAAATCATAGTAAAGGTGTGTCTCAGTTGAACTTTTGCTTAATAAATGCACTTCTTTGACGGTCAAATCAGCTGTATTTCAAAACTCGATTTGCGGAAGGGGGCACGCGCAGATGGACAAGCCTCTGTGCATTTCTTTGAAATTTAACAAGATAAGCACCTAAAACCATTTATTTGTTTGCTTTAAATTATAGTAAATGTTGTCTCAGTCTAACTTTTGCTTAATAATGCACTTTGACAATTAAATCAGCTGCATTGTCAAAAGCCGTTACGCGGAAACATGAACGTGCAGAGGGCGACTTGCTGTGCATTTATTCTAAATTTAACAAGATAACCACCTAAAGCAATTATTTGGTAGCTCGACTTTATAGTAAAGGTGTGTCTCAGTTGAACTTTTACTTAATAAATGCACTTTGACAGTCAAATCTTCTGCATTTTGCTGTGGCGGTGCAGTGAAATGAAGCTGATTCGGTTGTTCCAGGCAGACTACAGTGGCTGTGGCAAGCCGATTATGTCATTAAATTCAAAGCAGTCTGCTCCTCAGATATATAGTGTTAACCTATTATTTTTATGTTTGAATGTTTCTGGTCAGTGCCCTGAGATGACTTCTGTTGTGACTTGGCGCTATATAAATAAACTGAATTTAATTTAATTTAATAGCCACTTTTACTTATTACATGATGCAACGGCATGCCTTACTACACTGCGGCCACCTAGTGGCTGAAAATGGTAGTATTTAATATTTTCAGTCAGAATGAATGAAAATGGTCATATCTCAGACATAAATTGGTTTATAAATATGGGGAAAAAAATCCATAAATACGTTGCGTTGGCCTGTAAGACGCAGGGCATGCAAATTATGCAAAAACCCGTGAATTATACAGCAAAAAATACAGTATGTAGTTGGGTGCAGAAGTTTATAAAACACTCGCTAATGCATTGAAATTATGTTGTATACATTTTGTTATACCAATAAAACATACTCTTTTTACTTTTTAGTAACAAATGTGATAGTATTTTGAAGTTGTAGTGCTGAAGAATACCTGCAGAAGGGGCAGATGGAGAACCCCATCACCGTGCTCTGCATGGCAGCGTGATCACTGTTGGAAAAGGTTTTAGGTCACTGAAAATGACCTTTGTGACCACAAAGAAGAATAATTTGTTTTTTACTAATTAAAATGTATTAAATTAAATAATGGTGAATAAAAGAAAAAAAAATAGGCAACATTCATCAGCTCACATAGCAGGGAGCAATGTCATTTAAAGGCCAAATGCAAAAAAAAAGTAGTTTGTGGTTTGAATATAAATAAATAAATAATAAAACAGGTGTGGCTCAAATGGAAACTGAACAGGATGCAGATCGGAGCAGAAAAGAGTGGTCTGGAGACTCAAATGATGTGATACCAATGTCATGGAGGAGGTTAATGGTTGAAAGGAACCATTAAGGGTTTTAGCTTGTACGTATTTCATGGAAAGCTTTATAACTGCAGATTAAATAAAATATGTTGTATGAAGTTGTATTTGTAACATGCTTTTTGTTTTTGCATGCCAGCCAGAGGTGTTGGAACAGTTGCACAGCCTGAAGGAGCTGTGGCTGGACAACAACTCTCTACAGTCCATACCTGGGGTAAGAAGACGATCAGCTACAGGAAAAACTCTAATTACAGTTTAATAATAACAAATAATCTTTTATCTTTTCTCTGTCTTCATGATGTTTTCTGACTTCCTTACTGCTTTTCTCCCACAGTCTTTAGGGAAGCTTCGTCAGTTGCGGTACTTAGACTTAGCAAAGAATCGGATTGAGTCGCTGGATAGTGATGTTTCAGGCTGTGAGGCCTTAGAAGACCTGTTGATGTCCTCCAACATGCTGCAGCACCTCCCGGACTCTATAGGTACACAATCGTGCACCACAGAAACACACCGTCGCACCGTCAAGTTGAGTTGTTGCACTCTGACTGTCACTTCTACTTCTGCAACAGGGCAGTTTTTCAGAGGCTCTCAATAAGTTCATTTCACCTATAAGGTAGAAACAAGAAATCTAACCTGATTAGCCTGATTCTATCCCAAAATTATACTAGACTTTTTATTTTTATTTTTTTAAGCTTACAGAACGTTTCAGATTCTGGCTGCTGCTAAGTACCTAAAGGTGATTTTGATCTCATCTAACTCTGCCAAATTACAGTTAGGCATTTTTTGTATACTTTAATACCAGAAGTGATGAAGCTGTACAGAACACTTTTAATGCAGCAAGAAGCTTTTTTTTTTTTCTAAAGTAAAATTGAAAAAATAATTTAATGACAACTGAGGCCCATTTTAGCCGGTTTGTCATATCAACAATAACAATAATAAAAATTATGCTTTGGTGGGTTTTATGTGTGAATTAGCATTTTCTAAATGAAACATTTGCATGTTTGTGTTTTCAATTCATTTCAATTCAGTTTATTTATATAGCACCAAGTCACAACATAAATCATCTCAGGGCACTGAATAGAAACATTCATATACATAAAAAGCAAGTTAATACCAACATTCATATACATAAAAAGCAAGTTAATAACATTATTTATCTGAGGAGCAGACTGCTTTTAGTCTAACTCCATCGCAGATTCTCATCCTGAGCAAGCATGAAGGCAACAGTGGAAAGGAAAAACTCCCTCATGAGGAAGAAACCTTTAGCAGGACCAGGCTCAGAACAAGCGACCATCTGCTTCGACCGGCTGGGTTTGAGAGGAACAGGAAGGAGGAACGGATATACAATGACAAATAGAAATAATTTCGAATTAAAAGTATTAATTTGTAACAATTCATTTTAAGAAATTGTGTCAATTTGTCCTCCAGTAGTCTAAGTCTATGGCAGCATAACAAGCCAACCCTAACTATAGGAATTATCAAAAAGGAAAGTCTTAAGTCCAGTCTTAAAACTGCACAATGTGTCAGCCTCACAGAAAAGAAACTGGAAGTTGGTTCCACAGGAGAGGAGACTGATAACTGAAAGATCTTCCTCCCATTCTGTTTTTGGAAACTCTAGGAACCACAAGTAAGCCTGCAGTCTGAGAGCGAAGTGCTCTGTTAGGAAAATGTAGAACAATAAGATCTCTAATATAAGATGGAGCTAGGTTGTTGAGGGCTTTATAGGTTAGAAGTAAGATTCTGAGTTAAATTCTGGACTTGACAGGGAGCTAAAGGAGAGAAGCTAAAACTGGAGAGATATGATCTCGCCCACTAACTCCAGTTAAGACTCTGGCAGCAGCATTTTGGACTAACTGGAGACTTTTTAAAGAAGTATTTGGACATCCAAATAACAAACCATTGCAATAGTCCAGTCTAGACGTGACAAATGCATGAACCAGTTTTTCAGCATCATTTTTAGATGTTTCTTATTTTTCATGTGATACAGGAATGTTGAAGAAGCTGACCACTCTGAAGGTAGACGACAACCAGCTGACCTCACTGCCTCACACCATTGGGAGGTAAAAACACTGACATCCACCGCTCCCCCCCTCACACACACATACACACACACAAAAATAAAAAATACTAACCTGAAGCCATATTCAGGTAATATTCATTGAATTTTTATTTTATTTTATTTAAACAAACATTTTTATCAGTTCATTTTGGGTTGTTGTTGGGTTGTTTATCTTGTTAATTACTGTTAGCTGCTGTGTTGTTCTGGTGGCTGATGACTGGGGGGGTTCTGTGTGTTGTATTTGCTGCGTTGCCGTGGGGTTAGTCCGAAGCCAAAGCAAGGGTGAGTAAAATGAGCCTCCTGGATCCGAGGGCTTGTTCTGAGACTGACAGACATTCAGCTGCGTTTCAGATGCACAAAACAAAAGCTTGCTGCCACATGCTGACAATGTGGAAAACAGTTCATGTCCAGAAAAAGGCATGCAAACATCAAAATGTTTTCTTTTTTTCGTACTGTTTGATAATGAGGTTTCAAAAAAATCTGTTTGCTTCACCAAAACTCAGTGTAGTATTTGCAAAATGATGATGGCCTTGTAAAATAAATGCAACATTCTAAACGTGTCATATTGTGTCAGTCACTGTGACAAATAAAAACAATCTACATCCAGACTTCTATTACATTTTTATCTTCATTGCATCCATTTATAACAACTTATAACAACGCTAAGAAACATTTCAGCAAGATTTGTATCTGAATGCATTGAAAGCCGTTTGTCTTCCTGAACAAGTTCTGGGTTTTAGCCTTGATAAGTACTGCAGTAGAATCATTATTCCTCTTCAAAGGTCCTATTCTTTCCTGTGCAGTGTTAATGTGTTTCTCTGTCATGATATGAACCCCTCACATCGCTTATGGTTCCAACATTTGACAAGACTATACATCTATATAGGAACCTTGTTTTTATCTGAATATACAGTAGTCCCTCGCTACTAAGCGGTTCGTTTATCGCAGACTCGCTCTATCGCAGTTTTTCAAAATAAGATTGGACATGACACAATTGGCTGATTGATGGATGAGCCACACGATTGGCATGGAATTTTTATTTAAAATAAAATGTTTTAAATTATTTAGCACCTGCTGCACATTTGTGCAGCCCATACTGCAGGATAAACTTCCTGCTGCAGCTGATCAGCTGTTCTCCATGCAGAGCTGAGAAGTGGGCGTGGCCAAGAGCACTTGCATGTGGCAAAGAGCAGGAGTCAGGGAGCTGAAATCATGACAGTCTGTGCTCTTTTAGAGGGTTTAGAGTTTAGAAACATTGATTAGAATCTTATAAGAGTGTAGGAAGAGTTTAAAACGCCTTTATATATATATATATATATATATATATATATATATATATATATATATATACTATACAGTATGTAACGATAAACAAGGGACTACTGTAATGTGCAAATTTTAAATTTGGACTTGTATTACATCACACTGCACATGTATTTATTCATGCTTTAAATGTCAGTTTATATAATAATAATAATAATAATTTTATTTGAAAAGTGCCTTTCAGGACACCCATCGACAATTTACAGTGTGACATTGTGTGACGCTATCTGTTTATATTTTATCCTTTAAAAACTGCACCATGATAGCTTAAACTCTGCCACCTTTTATCTAGATAAGTTTTCCAGATATAAAATGATATCTTTATCTATCATCTATCTATCATTTAGAAACAAAACAAATACAGCAAACCACAATATGAGGCCTCATGGGTCATTCTGACCCTCGGGCAGCAGGAGGGTTAAATGTAAGCAGGTAACAACCAACAAGACTAACATGAGATATTATATTAATTATTTTTATGTAGTATCTCAATGAGCTGCGTCTTTTTTTTTCCTTTTAAAATAATCACAGTTATTGCTGGTGTCTTAAACCCATTTGAGCTCTTCTTGACTTTACCCTAAGTGCCTTCAGCATGTCACAAGAGATGTATTTTGACACCTGCATAGGAGCTCTCTTCTGACAGGAAACATGTCCAGGTCTAAAACTCCCACTGACAATAAATAGTAATTATTAAATATTCATTTCAAAAGTGTACTCCACTGGATTAAATCATAATAGTGGGTTCAAAACAAGCTATAGTGCGTATGATGTTGGCTAGGCATGCAGTGAAATAAGGTCACTGGCCAAGTATGCAGTTGTGCAAGCAGTGCACACAAACACAAGCAATCCAGTTAAAAAGTTGATTGTGCAAAACTTTGTTACAAAAGGTTCCTTTTTTCACAACATCTAGTCAAGTTTGAGTCTCCAACCAGTTTCCAACAGTTGTAGACCAGTGAGATACGGCCTTTATGTGTATCTGTATGTTTAGTGGTAAGTTTAATTAGGAATGCAAGAATGTAAAAAAATAAATAAATAGAATGAAAATATATTGCACCTTGATCTTTAATATAAAGCTGTCCACTTGTTACCTTCCCTCTCCTTTGCCCTCCTTTCTGACAATATGGTGGCCCATATGAGCTGGTCTGTTGGGAATAATAACAGCAGACTGTGTTAACAAGGACAGTACATGAATGTAAAATTATTGTCTCATTAGCATTAGCCTGATGTCAGGCCATCGAAGGCAGCCAAAGGGCAGCCATGTGTCTTGCAGTGGGCTTGCAGTAGATGCCAGAGTATAGAGTATTTTGAAAAATCCAATAATTGAAAAGGGAGTGTGGGGAAAATCAATTAAGACCAAACTAATGACAACATTCTCTGGATTGGCTGATTCAGTCATTGACTTAAATGTCCTTCATTGTGAAAAACATTTGTTTGCAACATGCTCTGCTGAAAAAAACAATTGGAAAAAATTCTGAACAACTTTCATTTTTTGATCTACATAAATATATAAACTTACCAGCATTTATGTTTCTCCTTGACACTCACATCAGCCTGCAGACCCAGACAGGAATATGGGTGAAAGACAAGCTGCAGACTTTTCCTTGTTTGTTAGAGGTTTTTTTATTATTATTATTATTGGATAAATTTTGTGTTTGCTAGGAACTTTATTTCAGTTGTAGATGCACATTTGCTTTATATTTACAGCATGTGGGTGATAATCTATTTTTATAAAAAAACTAAGTGCATAACGAAGCATGTAACTGAGGACTATAAAGCTCATTGATTCATTTTAGGGGTTGCTTATTTTGGTCTTGCATCAGACATGCAGTGACATTCTGAATGATTTCTCATCTTTCTTTGTCATTATCTGTCTTCCTTTCCTCCAGTCTTTCTCTGTTGGAGGAGCTGGACTGCAGCTGTAACGAGCTGGAGTCGTTGCCTCCTACCATCGGCTACCTGCACAGCCTGAGGACTTTTGCTGCAGATGAGAACTTCCTCATAGAGCTGCCACGTGAGGTGGGGAGATCTCATAAGCTCATTCATCACAAAAATGTACAGCTTTCATCTCTGCTCACCAGTAAAAAAAATAAAATAAATAATTAAACTGTGAGTTACCTTTAGTGTTTTTGCAAAAAGACGTTTGGAATGATTTACAAGAAATGACATTATTTAAGTGCATTTATGCACTCTTTTATTTGACAATCAATATTGTATATATATAAAATACATTTTTTGACTAAAGATATTATTTATTTGAATGTATATTGCCTACCTTTCATGCAAGTGTTTGAAAGTAAGAACATCTTTTATTTAGAAATGATAGAGTTGCTTTATATTCCATCAAACATTAAAATAACATTAGGCTCAAACTGGGAATAATCTAAAAGTTAGATGTAGACGTCAACCAAGTTGCTAAAACTTTCATTATCTGTTCAGGGTTTTTTTTAGGTATTTTCTAATAACAGACAGAGCTAATAGTCATTAATGAAGTTTAAACAGATTTTGCCTGATCCGTTAGCTTTCAGAGTATAAGTTAGGGATCCGTCTTAGCTAATAACATGAAATTTGAGCCCACTATCTGTAAGACTTACAGAGTTTTAGCTCACATGCAGACATGAGCAAAAACAATGAATAGAAAAAGTAACACTTCTGAACCAGATAATAAAATGTATCAGCAGGACCCAACTTAACAGGAGTAATACTAGTGGAGAATCTCGTTTAGGAGTTAGCACTTTTGTAATGTGATCTGATGGCTTGTGTGTGTGTGTATGCGTTTTAGATTGGTAATTGCAAGAACGTGACGGTGATGTCGCTTCGGTCCAACAAATTGGAGTTTCTTCCTGATGAGATCGGACAGATGACCAAGCTGCGCGTCCTCAACCTCAGCGACAACAGGTACGGGCACACAATAGCATGCAGCGATGGAAGCCGAACTGTGACTCAGGCGTGACGATGCGTTCACACGCAGGCGACACTTTTCAATGGCCGTTTTGGTTCTTTGTGATCTCACGGCCTGCGGTTACCATGGGAATCAGTGAGTGTGTTGCCATGGTTACATGCTCTGTAGGCTGTACAGTGCGTGGGCAAGAGAAACATCTCTCTTTTCTTTCCGTCCCCTCCTGCCTTCCTACTGTCTCCGTCTCTCTTTCGCAGGTTAAAAAATCTTCCGTTTAGCTTCACCAAGCTGAAAGATCTGGCAGCGCTGTGGCTTTCTGACAATCAGGTATCTTTTTCCTCCTACACCCGCCAACAGACTACCTGTCATCCAATATTCCTCAAAAACACCTGCCAATGACATAAAACTCAAAATACTGGGCATAAGCATATATATACATATATGTGAGCATAACAAAATTATATTTTAATGTGGTAAAGCACTGTGAATTGCATTTAAGTTTGATTTATATGTCATTAGCGTGTCATACATGCTTTAGCTCAACATACAAATGAAAGATTCAAGTCAAACTCAAAAGAAAATGTTGATTTGTGATTCAAACTTAGCCTAAATTTAAAAATCATTCTTCCTGTCAACTTCCTGTCTTCTTTGTAAACCTTTTTTCATATTTTCTTTTAGGATCGGTGAGTTAAGATTAGGAATTACAGTAGGAGTAAACCTGCCATCAGAAAACATTCCTGCAAGAATAACATACCACTTTTTTTCATAAAGCACTTAAAACAGCAACAAGGCCAACCAAAGGGCTGTACAGCAAAAACAAACAAGCAAAAAACACAGCATAAAATACTTTGTACATAGATCGACAGAGATAAATATAAGAAACTAAATGACTAAAATTATAAAATACAGAGAAGTTAAAATTAACTCATACAGGGTCAAAAGCCAGGGAATAAAAGTGAGTTTTTAAACGAGACTTAAAAACTGTCAGCGAGGGAGCCTACCTGACATGCAGTGAGTGGTAAGTCATTCCACAGTTTTGGACCTGCAACAGAGAAGGCCCTGTCACCTCTGAGCTTAAGATGAGTGCCTGGAAGCAATAAAAGCATCTGATCTGCTGAACTCAGAGAGTGCTGTGACACATATGGCTGCAGCAGATCATCAAGATGAGATGGGGCAGAACTATTAAGAGATTTAAAAACACAGAAAATGATTTTTAAATTATTTCAGAAATGAACTGGAAGCCAGTGAAGGGAAGCAAAAACTGGAGAAACGTTTGTTTTGCCTGTAAGTTTTAGTCTGTAAGATTGAAAGAGAAAACGTGGTTTTGTGTTTGCAGTCCAAGGCTCTGATCCCACTGCAGACAGAAGCCCATCCAGAAACCAAACAGAAGGTTTTGACCAACTACATGTTTCCTCAACAGCCGCGACATGATGAGGGTACATACTGTGTGTGTTTGTGTGTGTGTGTGAGGGGGTGTCATTTAGTTTATAAATATTGTTTTACCTAAATATTTTGCCAAATGTGTTGGCTTTATCTTCAGTAATGGCATTTATTGTAGAAAACAATGACACGACACGGGCTGGTAGATGGGTTTTACTGACAGACCTAAGTAGTTGTAGTAATCCTTGATGACTAAGGTGTGTTTGTATGTGTACAGATTACCAGTCAGATAGTGACAGCTTTAATCCGACTCTGTGGGAGGAGCAGAGACAGCAGAGGATGACTGTGGCCTTTGACTTTGAGGACAAGAAAGACGATGAAGACAACTCTGGGAAAGTAAAGGTCAGCTCTGCGTCTTTCTCAATTATTGTCTTTTTCTTTTCCTACTCATCAACTAAATGAAGTGCAAAACAAGGGGACAGGGTCTCACAGCATTCTAATCTCTGATTTTGTAGGTGGAGATTAACTTGAAGCGCTACCCAACCCCTTACCCCGAGGACCTTAAGAACATGGTCAAGTCGGTACAAAGCCTTGTGGGTAAAAATGTACATCCGGGACACGCACACCAGCACCAGCACCAGCACCAGCACCAGCTGAGCACAGGCACTGCCACCTCAGCAGGAACCAACATGGAACATACACACCTCAGCAAAGAGCCGTATGAACCGCCGTGGCCCCTGCCTCCCAAAGAGGTAAAATAAAGCAAGAATACATAAAAACACACAGTATTCAGATGCAGTTTAAGAGCAGTCAGTTTAAAGTACAAATATTCTCACTTTTTCATGTCAGGATAATCCAACCAAGTTCTTGTACTGGTTATGAGGTTGGGTCAAGAAAATATAAAATATATTTAAACAAATCTGGGTCTCAGAAAAGTTTTAAAAAGTTCACAATGTTCATTCATCTACACACATGGTGATACTGGCTTGGATGTCTCTAATTATTGTTTAAATATGCAATACAAATAGATTCAATTGTCATATTTTATTTGGCTGATACAAAAAAAATCATCACTTGAATGAAAATTGATTTTTTTTTTTTTTTTATAGGTGACTGACAGAGAGATGCAGAACTTCTCCCAGTCTCAGCTGATGGATCAGGGACCGATGCATAACTCCGGCATCGACATTCCCAAGAGGAAGGACAAAGAAGATTTGACAGAGAGCTCAGAGGTTTGTCAAATAAAATGTGCACTCACACACAAACACAACACAAATACACACAAACAATAAACAGACACAGGAGTTACATTATGTTTTCTGCCTTCAGTAAGGAGTTTATACATTTTCATCCACTTTGATTATTACAGGATTTTCACAATCATGAGGTTAAAATGAGTGGCTGAAGAGAACTTTTAATGTTGTGTGTCTCTACACAGACTGACAAAGTTTTTGTGCTAAACAGTAAATAAGTCATTTATATATAAACGATGGATAAAAAAAAAAACATACTTAAGTTTATAGCCAGTTGACAATTCAGGATACCTACACAGTTTTATTAGAAACACCCACATGATAAAACCAAAACATGATAAAAAATTCAATTACACTTTCACTTTTTATCTGTTGCAAATAAGAAAACTATACTTGTAGCATTATAATAAGACAACAATAATGCCATCCATCCATCCAGTAGAACAGAAAAATGTAAAAACTCAAAAATATTAAACATATTAGGTGTGCTAAATATGTATAGCAGCTACGAAATAATTACCAAACAGTGTATTTATATGATAAATAATCATATTTTTGGGGTTTCTTTTCAAAACTTAACTGTAACGGTAATGCTTGGACAGGAAGTCGGACTAAAGCAGCACACAGGGATCCTGCTTCAAGTTTTTGTATTATTAAAATAAAGTTTGTCACTCACTTTACTTGCTGCTGTGCTGGTTTTAACCTTCTTCGTTCTCCAGGACTCAATGGGCGGCTCTCCTAACGACATCCGTATCTCTGACATGAGGCCCACATTAGTGGAGCCCCCAATGTACAAACCAAAGGTGGTACTGCTGGGGAAGGATAAAAAAGGTAAAGTACTATATTGTAACTACATAAGCGCATAGAGTCAACCACACATTTACATGTGATTCAATGAGTTTTGTAGATAGCTGTGGGGCCTGTTGTAATAGTGTCCTTTCATTGGTGGAGAAATTAATTTTAACACATGACAAAGTGATAGGATGAGAAAACGCCTGAATATCCATAGTAATTGTAAGTTCGCTCCTGGTTTTACCACCATGAAGGCTTCATTTTTATCTGAGGAAAACAAAGCTCTTTTTTTTTTTTTTACGCCAAATGAAATCTCTGTTTTAACTCTAAACACTTTAATTCCATCTTCTGAAAGATATGATTTATATCTTGTTCCCAGTGATGCGCTGTAGCATCAGAAAAGCTTTTTTTACATCTGCTTCTTCTTTAGGGAACAATCTGATACATTATGAAAGCATGAACAGCTTGTTCTTTATGGTGCCTTTCAATTCTTAATAGAAGTGTTGTTTTGATGCTACTGGTTTTTACAAAAAATAACTGAATAATCCCTCCAGCTTTATGATTTTGTACAACAGTTGGTTTTTATGCTATTTGTTTTATGGTATGGTTCAGGTTGTTTTTTTTTGTTTTTTTTATCATATGTAAAATCAACACAAAGTCAACAATGCAATAAAAGGCTTAGGACGAAAAGAACCGTCTCAACTTGCCAAAAAAACAAGAAATACCAGAGCATGCAGCAAAACTACTAAAACATACTAAAATTACTACTAAAAGACTAAAAACAAGGTGCCAAAGTTGAAAAAGAAATGCATCTATGGTATGGTTCAGTTAGCAGTGAGTTTCTTTCAACAGCATGGTTATTATGGGTATTATAAAACTGGGTGGGTGAAACTGGGTGCATCGTATTATGAAACTGGTAACAATAGTTTATAACTGAGCCTTGCAATGGACTGAAATTCAGTCAAACATCAATACATGGGATTTATTAGTTTTAATGTGGGTTACTTGTCGATTTACTGTAGTTACAGAAATTTTTGTTTATCTATAATGTTTTAAAATTTAATAATCATCATGATAGTTTATCATAATCGTTAATAAATTATGTAATTTGCATAAGGTTTTGAGGTATCATTCACAAAACATTTATCTGCTGATAAAAACTAAAAGTACTGAAAGGTGAAGTTTTGGTGTGAAGAGGCCTCATTGTTGCATTAGAGAAGATGTAACTAGTAGGTATGATTATTATTATTTTTTTTTTTACATCCATGGCAAAAGCTTGTCAGTAGTTGTACAAGACACTATCAGAACAACAAACATGACATTTTCCCTGAATGGAGATGCTCATCCTTCTGTGTCCGTCTCTGTCCAGAGTCAACAGATGACGAGGTAGATAAACTCCACTGTCTGAACCACAGCGGCTCTTCGGCCACATACTCAGACTACTCTCCCTCGCAAGGCTCTTCAGGCTCCTCCAATCCGTCCGCCAACACACACTCACACGCACATCCTCACGCACACCCACACAACCCTGCCTTGCCAGCTCCCAGCAAGGATCAGGCTCCTCAGACCCACTGGACCAACAGGTAGGTGCACCTTCTTTGTGTTTGTTTTTCTCACCAGTCATTTCTGCCAAGGGGGTGCCAGGGGGGCGCCAGGGTTTGCACTAGAGCTCCCCCTGGAAAAGTCATAGCACCCCCAAGAAAATATCAAATTATTTTCTTTTTCATCTAAGTTAATATTATTTAATATGTTGTTGTTGTGATATTTTCCTTGCAAAACACAACTAAATAAAAAATATATATGTATATTATATTGAGTTAAAAATAAAAAAATCCAATCTCACAACAGGAAACGAACCTCCGAATCGGAAGTGAAAATTCAAACGCCACTTTAGTTTTCTCCATCTTATCTCATCCTCTCCTCCCTGCATCTTTGTGTACATTCCTCTTTTCTCTGTTTGCTGAGCTGAGGTTTAAGAAACTCATTGAGATGCTGCAGATTTTTAGTTAGGGTGATATTTCTCATCTCTCTTCTCCTCAGATGCAAATGCATGCAGTCTGAGCTTCTCTGGTTGTTTAATAAGTCTTCCCCCGCTCTCCACAGACACATAAAAAGTAGTTAGAAGGATGGTCCTCTCGCTGAGGTTTTTACTCTGGTGGCCGTGCACTTATGATGGAGGTAGCCATATTTGGAACAGGAAAACGATGTTAAAATGATACCGAATAATGTTTTCAACTTGTTTTCTCCTTTAAATGTTGCTGTAATAAACAGCAAAAAAATAAATAAAGAAAGAATCTATGATTGCATATTATATTTATTACATTATAGCCTCAATCATCCCAATTAAATTTCATTAAAGTGTCACAGTGATCTATGACTGACAAATATTATTGTTCAATATCAACAGAGGAGGACAAATATACCCTCGATAAACAGTATGTTTGCTTCTCTCACTCTCCCTTGAACCTCTTTATGCTCTGAGGAGCTCCTGCAGTAGGAATCATCTTTTTGACATTTTCTGACATTATATTTGTTATTTTACATGTCCTAGGGTAGAGAATACATAACAGTCTGTGTACTTGATATGTTTCTTATAATTGATTTTGGGTACATCATTCAAAAACATGAAATTTGAAAACTACAAGTGACATTGAAATGCGTTTGACAGCATTTACGCTCTCAGACACATAATTTTTCAAACATGTTCATCTGGTCAAATGCTTTCATATTTCTATATATGTATAGATATATATATATTTTTTGTC